AAGGACTTTAGGTTTGTACTTAAAAGGAGAACTATGAGGTGAGTGCTTTTCACTCACCTCATAGTTCTAGCCGACCTGTGACAATGAGACTGTCACAGGTCGGCTCAGTAGATCACTATTCCTTACTCTTGCTATTAGACCTCTCTGCTGCTTTTGACACTGTTGACTACCCGCTGCTCCTCAAAATACTCCACCTGCTTGGCCTACAAGACTCTGCTCTCTCGTGGTTCTCCTCCTACTTATCTATGCGCTCCTTTAGTGTCACCTACAATTCTAACTCCTCCCCTCCTCTTTCTGTAGGGGTCCCCCAAGGCTCTGTCCTTGGACCCCTTCTCTTCTCTATCTACACCTCCTCCCTGGGTCAGTTAATAACCTCACATGGCTTCCAATACCATCTCTATGCCGATGACACTCAAATGTATCTTTCCACTCCACAACTCTCCCCCTCAGTGTCCTCTCGTGTCACTAATCTACTGACATATCCGCCTGGATGTCACAACACTTCTTAAAACTCAATCTTTCAAAAACTCAGCTCATGATATTTCCTCCTGCCCGTGCACCTTCCCCCAACTTTTCCCTTGAGATTGATAACACAACTATCCAGCCCTCCTCCCATGCTAAGGTGTCATCCTTGACTCGGACCTCACCTTTCTTCCCCACATCCAATCACTATCCAAATCCTGCCGCCTTCACCTTCGTAACATCTCCAAAATACGCCCCTTCCTAACCAAAGAAACCGCAAAACTACTCATACACTCCCTTGTTATCTCTCGTCTTGACTATTGTAACTCCCTCCTCATTGGCTTCCACTACACATGTCTGCAACCCCCCTCTGCCAATCCCTGCACTGGCTTCCACTCGCCCAGAGGATAAAATTCAAAATATTAACAGTCACTTATAAAGCCATCCACAACTCCGCCCCTGGATATATCTCAGACCTTGTCTCAAAATATCACCCTAACTATCCACTCCGCTCATCCATTGACCTCCTGCTTTCCAGCCCCTTGTCAACTCCTCCCATACTCGCCTCCAGGACTTCTCTAGAGTCTCTCCCATCCTACCCTGTTGTTCAGAAAATTAAAATATAATGAAAAACATTTTTTATTTAAAATGAAACAGCAAAAAAAGTTTTTTTCTATTTTTAATTTTATAAACTTAATTTTTTATTATTTGTTTGCATTTTTAATTAACTTTTTTTTGTCTTTTTAATTTAATTTGTTTAAACTTTTTTTTTTTAATTTTAATGCTGGGAGCCACAGCCAGCCTGCTATTGGATATTTCAAATTGCAATAGCCAATAGCAGGCTGGCTATTGCATCTGCCCACTGTCAATCAGCAGAGGAGGGGCCTGAAGCAGAAAGTTCTCTATCCGGTCCCCCCATGCTGATAGACAGCAGACAGTGGGCGGGAGCAATAGCCAGCTTGCTATTGGCTATTGCATTTTACAATATCCAATAGCAGTCTGGGTATGGCTCCCAGCCTGCAATGAAGAGTAGGCAGGGGGGGCAGGGCAGAGGAGCCGTGTCCGAACTAGGGGACCGGAGGATCGTCCGGATTGTGGAAGCCGACGGAACGGCTGAAGAGGAAGCCGGCACATCAGCGGAGGTACGTGGGGCATCGGCGGTATGCAGCGGTCTGTGTCCCCAGGCGTGGAGAGCAGCGGGAATTTGAGAGGACACAGGCCGCTGCAGCCACAGTTCTCCTAAATGTACTGGCTGCCGATACATTTAGGAGAACTGTGGACCCCCGTTTGTAAGAACGGATTGTCCGTAAGTCGGATGTCCGTAACCCGGGGACTGCCTGTATTGCGCTGTTGGGAAAGACTTCTAAAGCGGACCTTTACACTCAAAAATCTAATTCTACCAATGCATCCCTCTATGTATGATGATGAATAATAACATAGACATGTCAGGTGTAAAATGCTGTGATTGTGAAATACTTACACTCGCAGAGCATTCACTTCCTGCTTTGAAAGTACAAATAATAAACTTCAGTTTGCCAAAGCAATGCACACTGGGATTGCCTTGTCATCAGCAGATCATTGCTGGGAAATCTGACGAGATTTCAGGGGAAGTCATTTTCCGCCCCTGAGATGATGTGCATGGTCACATGTCCCAGAAATGCAGGAAGTAATAGGAGAGCTAGTAATTTGCCATTGGTAAACATGGCCACTGTCAGAAGACTGGGGAAGAAAAGAGGAACAAGATATGCAAAGAATACAAAGCCGGCAATTATCTAGAAGTATCTGCCTGTAGGTTGTCATTACTAAACATTTATAAAGTGTGTGTGTGTGACTGGGCCACTGTGATTGCATACAACACCTTGAGTTGGTAGAACTTTGTAACTTGTCATTTTGCTGAAAGACGAGCAGACTTTGCTTGTTGGCCTTTGAGACATAAGACTGTCCTCCTTTAATGTCAATCAGCTTTCAGAATGGTCACTAGGTGCTCACCAAGTTGTCATTACTAAACATTTATAAAGTGTATGTGTGTGACTGGGCCACTGTGATTGCATACAACACCTTGAGTTGGTAGAACTTTGTAACTTGTCATTTTGCTGAAAGACAAGCAGACTTTGCTTGTTGGCCTTTGAGACATAAGACTGTCCTCCTTTAATGTCAATCAGCTTTCAGAATGGTCACTAGGTGCTCACCATATGTGTGAATAACCCCAAAATATCACAATATGGAATACAAATGGTTTCATCAACAAATACAATCACATGGAGCAGAGCAGACATTCAGCTAGGTGTTAAAGCCTAATAGTGTCACAGAATACATGATTATTTAAACATACTTTTGGCACAAGATCACGCCTGAAACCAACTCCAGGGTTCCCTCTCCCCCATCTTGCCACTCAGTTGATGTGTTGGGTTCTCTTCCTCCAACAGTGGGCTGACTTCATGATGCAGACAGCAGCACTGACGTAATGTCAGCTCATTCCCAGTTCACGGGGACTGTAGAATGCAGTGGGAACCACGTCCTCAAAATGACAGGGATAAGGCACCCTGCGCTCAGTATAACCTTAACTGGGATAACACTGGGAGCCATTCATCACAGAAGACATGAAGATATACTACGGCAACAGGGTAAACATTGCAGCCACCGCTGGGTTTTTTTTTTTTTTCTTCTTCCTCAAGACGGAACATTAAAAACATTTCAGCCTGGAGCTGGGCTTTGATGTCCATCCCGAACACGAGAATATGTACTAAGACCCCCTAATGCAGGGGTAGCCAAACACCAGCACTCCAGCTGTGGTGAAAATACAAATCCCATGATGCATCTGTCTCCAGGAGTCATGACTGTGGCTGAGAGAATCTTGCAATGCCTCATGGGATTTGTAGTTCCACTAAAGCTGGAGGGTCGGAGTTTGGCTACAGTGGGGCAAAAAAGTATTTAGTCAGCCACCAATTGTGCAAGTTCTCCCACTTAAAAAGTTGAGAGAGAGGCCTGTAAGTGGCATCATAGGTAGATCTCAACTATGAGAGACAAAATGAGAAAAGAAATCCAGACAAATCACATCGGCTGATTTGGAACAAATTTATTTGCAAATTATGGTTGAAAATAAGTATTTGGTCACCTACAAACAAGCAAGAGTTCTGGCTCTCACAGACCTGTACCTTCTTCTTTAAGAGGCTCCTCTGTCCGGCACTCATTACCTGTATCAATGGCACCTGTTTGAACTTGTTATATGCCCAACTTTACCTCAGCCCTAATGCATAGTAGATAATGTCCTGAAACCTTGGTCTGCATTCACAGCACCTGTGAACATGCGGTCTTCAGTTTCATGGCCAAACTGTGACATGATAGATAAATAAAACTAAAGGTCGCCAAACATTCCCTTTTAGAGCCAAATCAGACATCTGCACAATTCAATGGACATGATCACAAATACTTTGGTGGCAGCAGATTTTTTTCAGCCTCTGGTTCCTGGTGATTGGTCCTGGTCCAGTCTAAAGCTGGCCATATACTATTCCAAGTTCTAGATGATGAAGCGGCTGAAATTTGCACAGTGGGTGCTGCTGTTGGCAACCTTTCGGCTGGCATTCCTCGATCAGCTGATCAAAAATTCTTTGAACCAACAGAGAAGGGCAGCCAATCAGCTGCCGGCTCTGTAGGCGTATTCTCACAGCGGCCGCCGTCTGCTGTCAGGATACAATGAAGACAGCAGGGGATTCCGCAATTAACACTAGTGAGCATTCATGGAGGAACCTAAATATTCTTTTCATTCAGCCCGCAGGTTCAATGAAGAAAATATCACAGTGTATGGCCAGCTTTAGCTTAGAAGGAAATAAAAAGCACATTTACTGTGGAAATGGTTTAATTACAATAAGATGAATACATTACATTTCAGTGGCACACCAGACCAGAAAGGTTAAAGCCCGACTGTAAAGAGACCAATAAACTCCGGGCTGCATGAAAAATAAATGTCAAATCTTACAGGTTTATTCTTTTCCTATGAAAGTTTCCTCAACCTCAGCAGAAAACTCTGAACTGGCGCCCACAGCTAAAGACCGATGCTCTCTGTACAGTGGCCCTACATGTCCCTGGCTTTGTAGAGCCACAACAGCGCTATCAGCAGGGAGCAACAGCAGAGTCAATTGTAGGGGGCCGGGAGGGGGATGTTGGACCTCAGTACAGAGAGCGGACTTCAAGACTGGTAGCAGAATTTTTGCTGGGCTTTAGCGGTTACATTTCTCCAAAACCAGATAATACATTGGTGAATTGTTCTGCTTCTACTATCTTTCATGAACCCCGGGTGAGAATTTGAGCTTCCACTTCTGTCAGTCTTCCGAGTCATTAGAGGATGGTCCCATTTTTGTTGTTGTCTGCAACAAGGACACCAGACACAACTCACCGGTGATACGAAGGCTTCGGCTGCTGACATCAGAGATGTCAGACAAAGTGAAGACAAAGCTGTGTCTGGTGATGGCATGAAGATAAATGTCTCCACATATCCCTTCCACAATCAAACAAGTCCAGGTATTTAGGAACAGCAAATTTATACAAAAAACATATATCAAAACCGGTGAAATAAAATGGGGTTATTTGGGAGGATCGGTGTTGATTCCATATTTCTCTTTGAGAAGTTTGAGCTGCTCTTCTTTTTTCTTTGTGTCCATCTTCTGGAAAGCCTGAAATAAAACATTATGTTCACGTATCTGTTACTTTACAATCTACTGAGAACACGGCAGAGTAACATAACACACAGGGGCAGAAAGACTAATGAGAAAAGGGGGCAACCAATCAGATTACAGCCAAAGTGCAGGTAAGATTAAAACAAATATATGGATGATTCAGGGCCAGTGCACACCCAGGCAACACCTCACCTCAGTGCAGACCTAGGTGACTCCTGACCGCGTGGAATTGTGAACAATTGCCGCGCGGTCAGGAGTCCCCCCTGGTCTGCACTGATCGCGCTGTGGGTGCCATTATTTTTTTTTAATGTCACCCCAGTCATGCCAGGCGGATCGCCTGGTTTCCCGCCCGTGCTTCTGAACACGATTGCGGCTAAAACAAAAAAAAAAAAAAAAAGGTACATGTACCCTTTTTCTGCGATTGCCGCACGGCAATTGCAGCCTGCATTGTGCAGGACCGCGTGATTCCGGGATGTGCAATCCCAGATTGCGTAGGTCTGCTCCAGGCCTCAGTCATAAAAAAAACACTTCACACTAAGTTCCCTACACGGATCTCCAATAGCTGCTGTGCTCAATATCTAATAATGATATTTAATAAAATACTTTGGTGCCCAGCGCTCAATGATTATACAAACTACTAATCACAAGGTCCTTCTCCCTTATAAATGATGTGATGAATGTATGTTGGCCTGGAGGAATAAAGACATGACCGTGGTTTAGGATCTTTAAACATTGATGGCAAAATGTGGGAAATCACAAATTGACCTAGTTTACACCACGCGCGTTCCAGGAGCAGAGCAGTTGCAGACCGGATCAAAACTGCGTCCAATGTATTCCAATGGTATTTTGGACTCTAGTTCACACCGCAGCGTTCAGTTCCAGAGCAGGTGAAAAAACTGCAGCAAGCCCTATTTTACCTGCTCTGGAACAATCTGAAAGCACATTTAAAACTAAAAAAAAATTAACAATTCTCTTTAAAAAAAAAAAAAAAAAACGGTCTGGAACGCATCAAAAACGTGGTACAACTCACTGCACTGCGTCTGCATTTGGTGTGAACGAGTCCTTAAGGCCAAAGCACTCCAATGAGTCGGCCCTGCAATGAGCAGAGTTCAGAGTGTCCCATTGCACAGCAATCCCAATAAAAACGTATTTCAGGCGGTGCTGAATTGACCTGCGGGTGGCACCGCGAGCATCAAGATATATGGCAATAAGTCATCCGCACTCCACTTTATCGTTCTGTCTTTATTCCACATTAGACAAACATGGTATCACATGCCACATATCAGAACCATTCAACAGTTCCTTCATCATGAGATGACACTCTGTTTTGCCTGATGAAGGAACCATTGAACGGTTCCGAAATGTTGCATGTGATACCATGTTTGTCTGATGTCAAATAAAGAAGGAATGATAAAGTGGACCTGTGGTGTGCTGGTGATGAATTCTCATATCTTAAAGGCCCTACAAAAAGGGGCTCATGGAGGTGACTGACTCCATATTGTCCGATGCCTGTGATGTATTGTTTGTTTAGCACATTGAGAAACAAGGATTCTGTGATTAGTATTTGGTATTTTTACCATGTGCTGGCCACCAAATATTTTATATATAGTCAATGGCTATGGGCAACAACACCATCTTAACAGAAGAAAAGCTGTTTGCTCACCGGATTGCACTGGCATAGTTTATTGACGCTTGTACTACATCACTAGTGTCCAGCCCAAGGTCCACCCCCTTTGACGCGTTTCCCCCAACAACGGGCTAAGTCATAGAGATACGACTCTCCACACCTCGTGATTGGGTGAAAACCATTAGCAGGGACAGAACTTGGGCAGGACACCAGTGATGTGGCACAAGCTTCAATGAACTATCCTAGCAGAGTCCGGTGTGCGGCCAGCTTTTATTCTGTCTGTACGGGTTCATCTTTTCCTGAGCCGTGAAGGAGCGGTGATTATTTTGTGTGTTCTCCAAGAAACATCATCTTACTTTCTTTTTGGGCAGATCAGTCAAAAAAAAACAAAAAGAAAAAAAAAAAAAAACAGAGGCAGGCATATAAAAGAGAAAGCTAAAAAGGGTCAGGACAGAATGAGATGAAATTAACAGAGTGACTGTACACTGTGTGTATGTGTCCCGCCCCCCATCCCAGGAATCTGACTATGTATAAGGAGTAAGAGGTACCAAACTAAAAAGCAGCGACATTAGGCTACACTCATACTTGTTATCCTTATCCCTCACTACCCGACAAGTCCCTGACCTGGAACAAGCACATCAGGACACCAGATTTGTATGAAAGGCGTTATCCTTATCTCTCACTACCTGACAAGTCCCTGACCTGGAACAAACATGTCAGGACACCGGATATTTGTATGAAAGGCGTTATCCTTATCCCTCACTACCTGACAAGTCCCTGACCTGGAACAAGCACATCAGGACACCGGATATTTGTATGAAAGGCGTTATCCTTATCCCTCACTACCTGACAAGTCCCTGACCTGGAACAAACATGTCAGGACACCGGATATGCACGTTTTTCCTGATGACAGCCACAGATCATGAGTTAGGATTCAGACAATTCAGCAATGGTGGTTCCCATATTTCTATCCAGACAGGTGTACCAAAAAAAATAAAGCACCAGTAGTAGTAAAGGGATACTTGGCTAAAAAATAAAGCTCCCATCCAAAAGTGAATCCTACTCATGAGAACTTACAGTTTTAGGGCATAAAGAATATGCATGTGCACATAATAGAGCCACAATGCAGTCATGTGACCAAGCAAGGCTTTCAGATTGTGAGTGTAGTGTAGTCACTGTACCCGGCTATATAATAAAAGCGGATATGTATTAGAGGTGGGGGAAAAGGCAATGTAGAGAATAGTTACCAGAATCCTAGAACGCATACCCCTAAATAGGCATCAGAACTACTTACCCTGTTTGCGTTATAGTACAAGACAACCAGGTATCTGTTACAGACGTTAAAACCAGAAAGGTGATCACAGGCATTTTTGGCATCAAAGATATCTTCATAGACCACGTATGCTGTGCCTCTGGACTCCGGCGTGTGGCCACTGAAAAACACACAAGGAGACAATAACATCTAGCAGCCACAAGCTATAGAACAGCATTTCCCACTCCTGCCCTCAAATCCCACTTACAGATCAGATTTAATGGTCAAACATGTCACCCTGCTGGGACACCACTTACTCTACCTGTGTAGATGATAGCTGACCTGCTAGAGGGGTTGGAGGTCAGGGAAACAAAGCTCTGGAAGATTCAAACTGGAAGCTTGGCTTGTTTTTCCAGCCAATAAAAGTTAGGGATGCACCGATACTAAAAAATATACTCACCTGATCATCAGTCTTGTGGTGGTCAGCGCTCACCTCTCTCCCCTTCGCATGCTCGCATCTAATGTGATGTCACGTGTCCTTAGACTGCTGGGAGAGGGAGCGGGGACCTGAGCAGCCAAGAGGGAAGGGGATCAGGTGAGTATATTTTCTTTACTTTAGCCCATAGGGATAAACGAGCAGTTAAGCCTTGCAATGCAGGATAACCCCGCTGGAAGGGTTTTTACATTTCCTGGAGTTCTTCTTTACCCTCAGTCCACATGCAACGGGGCGGGGGGGGAGGGGATTTCTCAACTCGACTCCTGCATATGCCATCATGGAGCATGGTATAGTGCAGAGGCGGCACCGTTTGTGAGGATGATGACAGGTGCTAAAGAGGTGCAGAATTGCATCTGCTGGAGGGGGGTGATGTAACTTCAGTCGGAGTAACATCACTACTGGTGTACAATGTCAGTAAACATGGAGGATGGCAAACCACGAGGTAAGTCTACCATAATGTATGCTCAGAATATTGGCACTCGGAGCACCCGCAGCACAGAACCGCTTTAAAGGGGGAACCATTATGTTCTATCGCGCTTTTAGGTTGCCACTTAACATTCACTCCCGGTGCTTATTGGGTTAAATTATTATATGAGAAAACACGTATTATTGGAATAGCATGTGACTGGCAGAGGTAATTGGCCATCTTCTGCGGTTTATGCTCCAGATGACGACCATTAGCGGTGGTTTACCGGCAGTGACAGGGCCTTTGCTTGGCGGTGATGCGGCCCCTCCTGTTAGTGTGAAGGACATTACTGTAATCTCGGCATGTCTGCAGGGAATCATCCATTACAAGCCTCTGCTTCTGGATGGTTTGGAAGCCGTCTGACAGATTCAATGACTGATTGCATCTTTGTTGCTTCCAATGAGTAATGGTTCCAAGAAACGCTACAGGACGGAGCGTATTAAAGGGTTTCTGCCATGCTGGAATTATATTTCAATGGTCAGAAAATAAACAGCACAGACATAAACCTGAAACGAGTCGGTCTTGACAATGAGATGTAAGGATTAATGAGAACCTCGAGCGTTGAGTCATGTGGGTTTCCACATAAAGCTAAACTATGGGCAGATATTCAGTAACTCGCACATAGAAAAATAAAAATTAGAACTATGACCATAAGTACCCGATTCTGTCTATTTTATCTCTTGCAGTCCTCTACAAAGCTGCACTCAGACTGGGAGAGAGAGGGTCAGTACTGTGAGCCAATGGGGCTCTATTGATTTGCTTAGAACCATCACTATGTGAACATATTTACAGAATGGGAGATCAGAAGAATGTCCTCACCAGCATGCTGCTGCTGCTCCTTTATTGTCCAAACAGCAGGCTGGGGAGAGCCCTTGACAAAAGGTGTATTGCCTAACTAAAGCCAAGAAAAGTGTGGCTAAGAGAACCTGTTATGGTGCCTATTCAGAGTAAAGTGACCGGGTGTCTTTGAAGCCCCTGACCACCCCATACCACCTTCACAGTGCTCCATATCCATCATGTCATAGTTTTGAGGCCAAGCGATTGGCCACTAGGTCTGAGCACAGCATCGGAGTAGGAGGCCATGTGCTCCCCAATACTCAGATGCACAGGGTATTTTGGGGGGACTGCAATGTAAGGAACAGCAGGCAGGAAAGTATGGTAAGGGGTAGGAATGCACCAATACCGGTATCTGTGCCGATACTGAGCATAATCACGAGTAATCTTACTTATAAAAATGCCCCTATACTAAAAACCCATAAAGGCACTTTAAATGTTCAAACTGTAGCGGCTAACTGAGGTCCGGCGAAGTGACTGACAGCCACCACTCACTGCAGGGAGAGGATCAAGAAGTGAGTGGATAGGTGCATGTTTCTGCTCACTTCCCGATCAATAGAGCCGACAGTTTCATTGTCACAGGTCGGCTCTAACTACGAGGATGAGTGGAAATCACTCCCCTCATAGTTCTCCTTTAAAAAATGTAAGCATCAATGTTATTTATTTTTTACTTTTGCTATGTGAATGGGAACACGTAACAACTATAAAAGTCGGCGTTATCCCAATATGGCGGCAAAATTGGACACACACACACACGCCATATTAGTTCACTACATCCCCCGGCTCTCTTTCCTACACAATAGTTGATCCTACAAACGCAAGTCTGCAAGTCAGCGAACTCACTCAATATAACGCATTCCCCGTATGGCTGATGGGGAAAGCATAACAAGCTGTGGACAGTTACATTTTCATTGATCACTTTGCCAAAAATGATGAACTTACACTCTGATCTGCCGAATGGGTCCGTACTTTCCAAATATATCGTACATTTCCTCCCCAGTGATTTTATAAGGCAAGTTCCTGATGTACAATATCCGGTTCACTTCGGGAGGTAAACGGATCTGACAAACAGAAATACGGACTCATTAGAGGGTGCAAATATTCACAGTTCATGATTTATCATATACAAAAGGCATCACAAAACCACCGTCATGAGAACTGCTTAATTAAGGAGTATTTTCCTACTGTCGGTAGGTGCGGACTGGGAAAGATTAGGCAAGTCTGTATACACAGGACACTTACAGTTGTATTTATAAAAAAAGCCCGCAGGGCCATTTGCTCTACGAAACTGCATGTACATTGGTTCAGCCGCCTTATTGGAATTATATTTCAATGGTCAGAAAATAAGCAGCACAGACATAAAGCTGAAACGAGTCGGTCTTGACAATGAGTAGTAAGGATTAATAGGAGCCTCGAGCGTTGAGTCATGTGGGTTTCCACATAAAACTAAACTATGGGCAGATATACAGTAAAGGAAAACACGATATTCAGTCCAGTACTTTTCACATAGGAAAATAAAAATTAGAACTATGACTGAGTACCTGATTGTGTCTTTATCTTAGCCTCTTATAGTCCTCTACAAAGCTGCACTCAGACTGTGAGAGAGGGTTCAGCGCAAAAGGGGGGCAAAAAGAATATGTAATTTTTAGAGGTGCACCGAAATGGAAATTTTAAAACCGAAACGAAACTGAAATAAAAAAATGCCAGGCCGAAACCGAAAATGTTTTTTATTTTCATTTTTTCAAAATGTTTTAATCATTTTTATTTATAAAAACTTTGTAATTTTTTTATATTTATTCATTTTTTTAGTAAATGTTTCCCTTTTAAAATAGAAAAAGAGATTGAGAACACAGAATCCTCAATCTCTTTTTCTGTGTCCCCTGTTATCAATGAACAGGAATCCTCTAGGAGTGTTCCTGTTCATTCATAACATGAGGACAGAGTGTGTTTACTATAACTGCAACTATGAATGAACAAGGGGGATGTAGATCACTTCCCATTCATTCATAATTGGGGATATAGTAACCATACCATATCCTCAATTATCTACAAAACACTCAGCGATCACTGATCCCTCACTGCTTGTACCGCTCTCCTCCCTGACACGCTGTCACAGGAGGCTGAGCGAGCGGTGTAGGGAGGAAAGCCCAGCCTCCTGTAACAGTGCTGTCTACACCCCCACACCGCTCTGCCGCACTGTGATAGGCGGCTGAGCGGTGTGGGAGGAGACGTCGGCCAATCACTGCGCTCTCCTAACGCAGCGCTCGGCCGGCTATCACAGTTTCTCTCCTCCCGGCTGGGACACAGAGCAGCGCCCAGCGGGGAGGAAAGAAATCAAGGATGCGCCGATGTATCGGCAGGAAAAAGGCACTTTCAGCCAATATGTTTCGGCGGCCGATATATATTGGTGCATCCCTAGTAATTGTTTATTTGCAGGTTGAATGTCATATTAGGTAAATACTACATTATGGCCACTAGATGGAGCTGAGGAGCATAAGAATATACATTGGAAGCAGGCCAGCTCTTTATAGCCTAATAATTGTGCTATGTGTATTCTGTAATAAAACAATTTTACCTGCCTTTTTACAATCTTCATTGAGTGTACACGGAGATGTGCCTGTGCAGCCTAGTGTACATTCTTGGCATACCGTGGTGCGGAATGAATCGAGTGCATGTGCAGGATTTACATCATTAACCCTTAGCAAATCAAGATGGCCGAAGTTCCTGAACCCGTAAGAGACCAGGGTGAAGATGTCGGCAGTGAACAAGGGGAGGGAGGCAAGTTCTGCTTTAAAATTACTGTATCCAACTAATGAGAATGGAGATAAAAGCTCCCTGGCTGTGCCTCGGATCTTCTGCCTCTCAGAGTGTTTTGCACCAGATGCCTGGTCCCCCCCAACAGGAATTCAATGAGGGGAGTTTATCAAAACTGGGGCAGACAGAATCTGGAGCAGTTGCTCATGGTGACCAGCTTCCAGTCTGTTCAGTTAAGTTTTGAAAAAGAAAGCTAGAAAGTGATTGGTTGCCATGGGCAACTGCTTCAGTTTTGATAATTCCCCCTCATTATCTTGTAGTGCTGTAGAGGCCGACAAATAGAATCACAGTGCACAGCGAGGGACCAGGAATATAATACCCTCTACAGCCGGATGCTGAGAACCTTCAGCATTGTCAGCTCTGTATAGGAGGCGAGGACGCTGAGGGACATACCATCACAGCAGTGGAGAAAGAGACAGGCAGGATAGAGCAATGTGACAGCCAACCAGCTCAGATGATTGGGTGAGCATAACTTTCTTATTTTTGACCAGCTCAGGAGTTATTGCATCCCGGCACCCAAGGCATGCTGACATTGCACACTGGCCCACATATGTGCAGCCGAGTGTACAGTCAAAAGATGTTTACTAGCAGGAAAGATTGAAGTATTTATAGTAGAAAAGACAAAATATGTCTTGTCTGCTAATTACTTTTCCCTTCAAGTTCTACTTTTTCTTATGTAAAACTGTGGCCACACATACTACAATCTGATTGTATAACCCTGCAAACAAACAATCCATTCAATCTGTATCCAATTGTGCACCCCCTTACGTAACATACTTATTGGTAAATCTAAAGTAGATTGTACAGTAGAGTCAGCCATACCCTGTAATATATTCTTTGTTCATAACATGTAGAATTGGGGCTTTTAAGGTGTACACAAAAATATAAAATCAATACAATAATATGTATAATATGTAGGGATGCACCAATACCGGTACTAGTATCGGTACCGAGTACTTGGGCGAGTACTCGTCCAAATGCTCAGATACCTAGCCCGATACTTGAGCTTCCGGTATCAGGAAGCCTGGCAGCGAGTCATTACACGCTGCCTGGCTTCCTGATTGGCCGGGAAGCCGGCTCCATCCATGCTCCCTCGTCACGAGGGAGCATGGAGCCGGCTTCCCTGTTAATCAGGCGGGCTTGCGATGACCTTAGTCTTGCGATGGTTGTAATTTAATTTAGTAATTAAAAAAACGTACGATCTGCCCATCTTGGACAGGCAGATCGTGCTTGCGATGACCACAATGCTGAATGGGCAGTGTGCGCGTACCGGCCCGTGCGGCATTGATCTTACGATCATGCTAAAAACCAGCCAAAAATCGTACGATTCTCAGGTGGTTTCCTAGCATGCTCCTTAGACAAAAGACGTGCGACCGCACAGTAAAAACGGTTGCACACCTTCCATACACTTTGCGATTATCGTACGATCGCGATAATCGCACAGTGTATGGTGGGCACCTTAAGAGAGATTATACAATCAGATTGTATAGTGTATGGTCAGCTAAAAAAGGACTATACACATGAAAACCTGATTGAGCAAGCATCAGATTGGACTGCATAGGCAGCTGTTTATATGAATCTTAGGGGAATCAATCACGTTGCCAATGCAGGGTAAAGTCACACAGGTCCTCATTGGGGCTTCCTTTCAGCCATTGACTCATTCCTCTGATGTACTCTCTATGAGAGCCCTCAGACATTCCCTGTACTTCCAGGCATAGGGCACCATGTGACCACCTCCCCTCCCCCTTCAGGATGCTCTGCTCACATCTAAATGACCACTCACAACCAGCGATCGCTGTGCAAGCTCCAAAAAACACCAAACACAGAGCTTACACAGAGATCAGACTTGGTGCCCTGGCAGGCAAACAGAGAAGAGAGGAAGTATAACAACGGTGATGTCAGTAGAGGAAGGGAAGAGGGGCATTAAGAGAACCTGTCACTGCTCTGAAGAGGCCGGTTCTCTTTAAAAGAAAATGACCATAGACAATCCTCAGATCATAAACCTCACTGATCTGACAGACCAAACATAAACTTGTGTGTCCAGCACCATTGTGCCGGGAGACCCTAGAGACGTGAACGAGGCTACCTGAACAGAGAGTGCTGGTGATAATGGGAGCCCCAGGTCCCCCGCCGTCTCTACTCACATTGGCACGTTTCGCAGCTTGCATCGCCATGGTACCGGCCTCAGGATAGACAAACCAACCGGAGAAAGAAAGACACACGTCCACCGAGCTCCGCACTTCACAACAGGAAATGGAACCTGCTGACGTAATCACAGTGCGCTGATATCCGCTTCCGGCGACTGAGAGCGTAAAGCATCACGTGATGGGTCTCCGTGCGGTCATGTTTACTAAGGGCAAAATCGCCTGGCATTTCAGGATGTTAGAACTGTTGATACATATTAATAATAATAATAAAACGTGTAATGTTTTTTCTAGTTTTAAAACACTCCCCAGTGGGAATCGCTCTCCGGGAGTCATGTCTGTTAGAATCTTGCAATGCCTAATGGGATTTGTAGTTCTACCACAGCTGGAAGGCCGGAGTTTGGCTATCCCTGATTTTATTCTGTAACATTTTTGAAAAGGTGCACATAGCCGTGTGGCCCCTGCCAATTAAGGCCTGTGTCAATGAGTTTGGGCTTCGGTCAATGACATCGGTTTGTGACGCTTCTAAGACTGTTCGAAATTCATTGACATGTGCATTTGAACTGCAGCTGACCTCCTCCCAAACTGCAGCAAGCAGGTTTTGGCATAGGTTTGCCACCTTTTCTTCAAGCGAAACCCGAACACTGGCTTATTAGTCGTGGCTGATTCATATCTAAATAGCGCCACCCATTCATAGGCAAATATTACAGGTGAGACTATCCTCAGGGAGCGGCCAGTAGCCCCTATCTTAATTTTGGTTGCCCCTGTCTGCCTGACATCTTGTGTCCGGGTTTCTGCTGCCATGAAACCCGAACACAGCATTCAAAACCCAGACTGTCCGGGTGAATCCTGGACAGGTGGCGACCCTATTTTGGCATGTCCAGCGTTCTCTGTTCCGGGGATTAGAATCAAAATCCCAGGTTCCCATGGACCGACCCCGTGTCCCGCAACCATTCAACCACTCAGTGCCAGTAAATGGGCAGACCTCTTATCAGCACAGAACCCGCACAGTAGCCTGGAGAAGTCTCCTCTACCCACTTCCTGTTTCTGGTCATGCGACGAACACATCACATGACACAAAGCCGCAAGCCCAGTCAATTTACTGCCCATTTCCGACTTCAATTCTGGTGGCCAATCGAACTTGCGGGTAGTATATTGATTCATTTCCCGCGATCACCTGCAATCATATTTGGGATTCCTGGTGGCTCAACATTGATTGAAATTGCTGCGTCTGGCAAACTTATAGTTTTATTGAAAATAAAAAGTAGAAAGATAAGTAAAGTATGCAGAGCATTAAATAAAGTAATGACTGACACATGTTCTAGAGAATAGAGGATTTTCATGATGGTTTTGTTATAAAGTGTACATAAACCCTGACAATGAATGACATTTGTATGCTGGTTTCTGCAGATAGTCCTGGGGAGTGCTTTGCGGCTGATACCGTGGGACAGGCGGCTGTGTTGAAGCCTGGCAGGGGCTCTCTGTCCGGTCCCGCCCAGCTCACTGATGTCACTGGTTGCAAGGAGCTCAGCGGGACGCCAGCCAGAGCGTCCTGCTCAGCTATTTGGCAATGGAAGACATCAATGAGCCCCCACACACACCTGCCACCCCCCTAATGAAATACCACCTCTGGGTGCCTCATTATAAGGACGGCCTGGTCTTGGATCCCCTGAAGGCTATGTGCCATAGAACTTGACATAAGTTCCCATGCTCATATCTACGGTGGCACACAGAAACAGCTGGCTTGTGCTGTACCTGAATCTGTGTGGCCACCAGTTACTGAAGCACCAAATTTGATTGCATCCTTAGCCCTTTTGTGACCAAAGGTTATTGATGCCTTGATGTCCAGAACAAATTTAGTAGCGTCAGCATGTGTCGGGTAACAATAATCAATAACTCTATGATTAATATGCTTACCTATATACAGTATATGAAATGCTTTTATTTGGTACAAAGTTTCCAATACAATTATGCTCTTTTGTTTTTATGATAGGTTGGCAACTGCAAAAATTGTTTTTAAAAATCACGCAGCTGGGTTGATCTCGACAGTAATGCCGGGATCTGTCCCGGCGGCGGCGGTTTCAGTATATCGCGAGCTACAGCTGAGCTTTGAGCTATACTGAGCTTTGGGTCACAGGAGGACGCTAGTATATGTCCTCCCGTGATCCTGAGGAGAACTATGAAAACACTTACACCATAGTTCTTTAAGCAGATGAACACTGCCATCTTCAGGCTGCAGCACAAAGGTTTATTTTGTCAGCGTGTGTCCAGGCCTACACAGATTTCTCAGAAAGAGTTGGAGATTGTGAAGGGACAGAGGTAGTCCTCATCCAAACAGACCCGTCTGTCTGAGCTAAGCAAGTAGAAGTCTGTATGTGTGCAGACAACCAGTCCACTCTGGTGACTGAAGGAACCAGTTCAGCAGAGATCCTGAGACCGGCGGAGGAATATACAGAGCTGTCCAACAAAATACTCAGGGGGCTGAAAGACATTTGTGTTTATGCTAAATAATCCCAGCGAGGGCAGAGCACTGTGTTAGGCCTCTTTCACATGAGCTGTGGACTTTAATGCCCCCTCTAAAAAGCAATCCGCAGGTGAATCGTTTTTCAGAGGGCAATAGAACAGTGGTTTTCAGACGCTCAGGAGGCAATACTACCACCTCCTGAATGCCTGATTTTTTTGGTCTCAAGGAGGATATAACATGGAACTACCACACTGCAACTGCGTGCCAAGTGTTTGATACGCGGTTGTGGCACGGTCCCATTCACCTCAATGGTTGCATTTGGCAGGTGACAATGCCTGCCGAAGGCGACATGCTGTCTAAAAGCATGGTGCACTGTCCAGCTGCAGTGCTAACTGCCTGTTTTTCTTGCCCCTTGACCACCCGTGCGAATGAGGCCTTATTTTGACATAGAAAGATAGACAGACATACAGTAAGCATTTTTGAATGGAGGGATCCTGTAAAATAGTTATTTATTTGTCCTTGGCCATGAAGACTCTGAATAAATCAGCTTCTACTCAGTTAAAGCCCAATTGAAGCCTCATGTTCTGGCATTCTTGTTTTTATCTTTACAGTGTGTGCATTATACTGAAAATGTGCTCTGCAGTGACAAGCACTGCTTCTAATATAACACTGTAAAACCTACCCAACAATTATTATTATCAACGGACTTTGAGAGCTATGATTGCTTTGTTCTTCCTTTTCACTTTCTTTAAAAGTTCAATAAAGTTTACCTGTCTAAAAAAAATCCGTCTTGTGTCGGCAGCACACTGGAGAGTTGGACTGGTGCTCTCATACAGGGAGCATTGGTCCAGGTCTCCAGTGGTCTGACATCCCCCATGAACAGTGCTCCAATTAACAATCCTGCTTAGGGAAGGTATTAAGGGCATATCCCTGAAATCATTTGGGGACACAGTACTGCAAACACATCTCAGTAAACATTGCCAGAAATTTACCTACCCGCCTTTATGCTTTTGTAAGAAATCACCCAGTATTTCGGTTGTAAAAATTACAGCCAATGAGAAGATTCAGAAAGATATGCAGCAGGTACAAGTTCTCAGATTGATTAAAAACAAGAGACAATACTGTGAAAACCTGGGCATGTATTTCCATCTTTAGATTGTATACACACAAGGATCATGTGACCCATCAATAAATCCGGAGTGTTCCATTATGTGGCTATTGTCCAATTCCATGATAAAAAACATTACATTACAGATTGAACACATACAGTAGTGGCATTGTCATACTCCTCCATGTATAGTGGCAGTGTCATACTCCTCCATGTGGTGAAGGCTGAACAAGGAATGTATTATTACACACATCTCCCCCCTAGTGTCACACAGGGATCTGAAGAACGATTTTCCCTGTGTTCTTGTTGGCTTCCATGCGGCGGTGTGCATCAGCGATCTGATCGAAGGGGAACACGCTGTCTACTATTGGCTGCAGCTGGATAGAACCGCCAGGTTTAAAGTAAGGGAGAACTTGTTCTGTGAAAGCCTTCACCAGCTCCGTCTTGTACTGAAACACAAACAGATCAGGACAAGATTACATATATACAGCCTGCTTGTATATGACTTTATGGGATTTATTTATAAACAATTTGCAGGGCCATTTGTTTAGTCAGATTATGGCAAAAAAAAAGAACACTCTGAGTATATTTCTTTTTTAGGTTGAATGTAATACCAAATTATGGCCACAAGATGGAGCAGAGGAGCATAATAAATAAATAATTATTTCCTATGCCCCTCAGCTCCGTCTAGTGGCCATAATGTTGTACTACATTATAACTTTCAGAATTACATTTGACTTGTAAAGAAAATGAGTTTGTTTTTGCATCTATTCGCACAGAATGAATGCTAACACAGAATGGCTCTGACCCCTAATAGTCTCCCGAGTGTCTTCACTTACCTCTCTTGAGCGAGCTCTCAGTGTACTGGCCAGCATGCTTCCTCTTTTCTTCAGTAACATTGTCAGGAAATCTCCATGGATCTCACCAGAGCCCATCAACCCATAGACAACCCAGCGGCCGTCAGTGTTCAGGCACTGTAGATTCTTCTGCCAGTGTGTCGCCCCCACACAGTCTAAAATAATATCAGCCCCAACATCTGCAGAAGAGAAAGTGGGAGTTATGATGGGAATGGCATCTGTCCCTGAAAAAAAAGTAAGCATGTATATTGGGGAAAGCCCTGTAACCTCAACCCACCTGAACACCTGCAGGTGACACAAAGAGGGCCATGTGGTTTCAGTTTGAAAAAGAAACATGTCTATTAAAAGCTATCTCTGGATAAAATACATACTGTATATGGTCCATAGGGTGAGCTCATTGTAAAGGGTCAGTCTATAGAGTTATTTGATTGCCTTTAGGGATCAGAAATTATTTATGTTCCCCATGCTTTATTTTTTGGGGTGGAGGATGGGGGGAAGCAACTTGAAGTTTAGGATTTTAAGGATGGTAGGTGGTTTGAACTCAAAGCCTACGCCGTGATAAAAAAAAAAAACTCAATTTACAGTGGGCTACCCTCCTGCACTGCAAGAGTTAACAAGACCTGTTGTACTTGCCTGATCCCAGCTCCCCCAGTGATTGGCTCATACCTCGATGTCCTCACCTATAATACAGGGTTATGAACCTTACATTAAATGTGATGAGGTCAGCAGGCCTCCAACCGCTTGAGTGTGGGTGGGGGACAGAAGGCTACAGGCACAAGCGGCGGCACCAGGGTGGGTGTTACCCGGTGAGGCTGCCGCACAGATGTTATGACGTCCGTGGTGTGACATCATTACGCATGCATGGTGAGGTACTTTACTGCCGGCAGCCATCTTGGCGATGGACTCCGGTAAAGAGACGAGGGGATATCAACTTGGCGGGATCAGGTATGTTGCCAGGTCCCCCACCTCTCATGCTGTTGTCGGGCAATCGGTCCATGACTTAGTGCCTGACTTTTAAGAGGAGGTGACACCAAAATGACCATCAGTAAAAGAATCCCCTTAGACATTAACGGGCAGTTAACACTCTGCCAGGACAAGACTTCTCTACTAGTACTGTCAATGCCGGGGTAGCCCCGCCGCAAGGGAAGGTTTTTTTGGTTTTATCAGAAGCTAGGCTTTGAGCTCAACCAAAAACCACCGAGCATCCTCAGAATCCTAAACTTAAAGTTGCCCCCCCCTTCCCAAAAAGAAAAGCGTGGGGGAAAAAATCTGATCCCTAAAGGCAATCAAGGCCTCTATAGACTGACAGTTTCCAATTAGTTTACCATATGGACCATTTATGTTTTTATACAAGGTGGTATCCCCTTAAAGCGGAAGTAAAGCTGCTGGGCTCAAGTATGCACAGCACACGTGCACATTATGGCACACCTCCAGCACTGACCACACTTCCACACTTGCCTTCCTCCAGCACTAACCACACTTCCACACTTGCCTTCCTCCAGCACTGACCACACTTCCACACTTGCCTTCCTCCAGCACTGACCACACTTGCCTCCGTCCAGCACTGACCACACTTCCACACTTGCCTTCCTCCAGCACTGACCACACTTCCACACTTGCCTTCCTCCAGCACTAACCACACTTCCACACTTGCCTTCCTCCAGCACTGACCACACTTCCACACTTGCCTTCCTCCAGCACTGACCACACTTGCCTTCCTCCAGCACTAACCACACTTCCACACTTGCCTTCCTCCAGCACTGACCACACTTCCACATTTGCCTTCCTCCAGCACTGACCACACTTCCGCACTTGCCTTCCTCCAGCACTGACCACACTTCCACGTCTGCCTTCCTCCAGCACTGACCACACTTGCCTTCCTCCAGCACTGACCACACTTCCACATCTGCCTTCCTCCAGCACTGACCACACTTCCACATCTGCCTTCCTCCAGCACTGAC